ACGAGGATTACCATCTTGTCTGAGTACCACTACTGTTTCAGTGTTTGTGTGTGTGTGTGTGTGTGTGTGTGTGTGTGTGTGTGTGTTCGCTCCTTAACCTCTGGGTCACACCTGTTTCCTAGCTCAGGCTCAGGGCAGGGGGAGGGGTCAGGGGTCGTGGTGTCACATGACACATCCTCCACAGACCTGTTTCAGATCCCACACTGGACACATGCTTTCTGTCAAACAAAACATTACCTGTGATTGATGTCACTAAACTTTCCCCGAAAACAACTGTTTATTACATTCATTTCAGCCAAACGCATTTGAAAATCTCACAGTATGCCCTCCTCTGTAAATATAAGCCTTATTACAGTTGAATTAAATCCAATTGACGTCATATATTCCCGAATTCTAGACTGTGAACATTTCTTGAAGCCTAATAAAATGCATGCTCATAAATAATTGTATCGTTCTGTCCAAAAATACTATAATGCCTTAAAAAAGCAATGCAAGTGATAAAACAATATCAATTTAAACACCAACATTAGAACAAAAAGTGTTCAATGCTTTCACAAGGCACTGGCAGAAGAGTCATTATAATATTGAATCATTCATAACTAGCTCATTAAGCTATTTAGAGTATTGGAATGTATTTGTGGTTCAGCTTTGATGAAGGAGTTTTTTCTTTATCACTCAGAACTCAAAGATTAGAATAAGTGTTATTGTTAACTGGCATTTGCGTCTTAAACATGTATGGATATGTATGTAATGAACACACAGTGATAAGCCTCCGTTCAGCGGCTACTCATTGATCTTCCCGGGAAACAGACACTAATTCATCCAAAGTGGAAATATAAAAAAGGGATTGATTGTAAACATCTCACTGCACTGCCATTTCATGATATGCTTCCAGTGAGCCACCAATGGCATCCACAAGAAACAATTGAAGTGGATAATATATGCCACAATTACGCAATCTAGAATACACTGCTAAAAACGTGTACAAGACAACAAAGGGGAAAGGCAGTTAAAGTACTTGTATAGCAGCTGCCCTGAAATAACAAATGTCATGAAATGTTGTGATCATTGAGGAGTATATCCTGCAGCTGTCAGACTTCATCTCTATCTGTCAAAGCCACACACGAAACATCTTCCAGCCCTCTGAGATCCAGACAGATCAAGATCACCACAAAGCCCTATCTTCCTGTTACTCCTCACAAAGAATGTCAGGTATGCTCACATTCATTCAATTCAGAAATGTAGGAAACCATGCTGCAAATATTTGTCCCACGCACTTTGGGGACAGGCATCCGCAGGACACTGGCTTATCAGAAGATCTGAATTATCTGCATATCCGCAAGCCGGTCAGCAACAAACAGGTGAAGAAGTAACAATGTCAGAGTCCTGCCTTTGTTGACACTAAAGAGTCGTAATCAAAACCAGAGCAAGTAAAAACAAGAAGTGACAATCTACAGTCCCACGTGAGCGCACAAAGAAGAGCTCGTTTATCAACAGTCCTGTGTCTGTGTTGTGAATGGGCTGAGGTTTAGAGATGCATTGTGCTTCGACTTTCACTCGCCTCAACTTGTGACACTGGAACTAAAGAATGTTTTCACTTTCACAAACACATTCTTCACATAGGGTTTCTTGTAGGGATGTCCCGATCACCTTTTTTTGCTCCCGATCCGATTCTGATCATTTGATTTTGACAATTAGCCGATACCGATTTTTCCATCGGGAAAAATCGGTATCGGCTAATTGTCAAAATCAAATGATCAGAATCGGATCGGGAGCAAAAAAAGGTGATCGGGACATCCCTACAAGAAACCCTATGTGANTCCTGGCGCCCAGAAAGCTGACCTCATCTCTGCCATGAAATGACACTTATCTGGAGTTGCTAGCTTCAAACCAGCCGCGGCTCTCGATTCCTTTCCAGCCACCACTCGCAGGATCCAGCCGCCTCAAATTGAGCTTCCAATGCGCCAGGATGTCCGTCCAAGGCTAAACCACGCCACTGCTGGCGGGCGCAAATCTCCGACAGCACCTGTCCAGTAACCGGCTCAAACGTGGGCCGGGGCATTGCAAAGGGCCCAAACTGATGGGACCCTTGAACTGCCCATAGTCCCGCCCCCGGATCGGCTACAGAAAGGCCGTTTTTGGCGTAGCCCTCTGCGGGCCTAGAGGAACTTTGGTAATACCCACTGCGGAGGATCCAAAGAAGAGCAACCACGATGACCCCGGCGACAGCGTCCAAGGACTCATCGATTGCGGGAGCAGGGGGGGGTATGAACCTTCTTATCTGATCCCCGTCACCGGTCTGTAGTCTGGCACAGCCGCCAGCACCGGTCATTCTTCGGAACCATGACTACCGGAACTGCGCGAGGGCTCGCACCCGATGTTCTGCCCTGCAGCCATGCTCTGCCACGTGCCTCGTCGCAAGCCTTTTCTGGACGAAGCTAGGGAGAGCTCGGCGCGGGCCCGACACTTGATGGGGCGCGCCGGTCTCCCGTATCAATCTCGTGTTGCTACCAGGTGCTGTTCGGCCCACCTCTCCCTCTTTCATTGCGCGGCGAAACTGGCCCTGGCAATTCAAGCAGCAGCTTCGGTGACCGGCTGCAAGCATTGTCTCTGGACGTGGGGCGTCGCACGATGGATACGGGACAGGAGGCGAAGGATTTTCTCTCCGTTTCTTTTAGAGTACCTCACAGTGGGTGGTCAGGGGTCTCCCTGGCCAGCGTTTCAGCCGGGACGTGGATACGGCGTCATGAGTGGAGTCACCGGCCCCGCTGGAAAACTCACTTGTGCTGCGCGTAGAAAAATCCAGAATGGCCAGCCAGACGCCTTCAAAAAGCTCCACGACCCAGATACAGCGCCGGTCCCTTGCACCTCCGCGTTACTCCACACGGGGTGCTGCCACTTCAACTGTCCCACCGACACACTCAGCATGGCCTCTTCCTTTCATCGCCGCCCGCCAGCTCTCCCGTGGCGCGTGCGCGGAGACGCCCACCGGCTGGTCGCGCTCCGAACATCAGCTCCCACTGGGCGCGGGAACACATCCCGGGGTCTCACTTAGGCGGTTACTGTAGAGCCTGTGTTCACCAGTGCCCAGCGCCAGGGCCCCCTTTCCACAGCGACAGGGACGTAAGCAGGACTCTCCAGCACTCTGCCGGCCACCGCCGACGACAGCGCTCCAAGGCCGGCTGCTGTCGGGGTCTTCTTTCAGAAAGGCGTCGGCGTCTGTTCCCCCGGCTGAGCTGCCAGGCTTCTTCCTCTGATGTCGCCGGTTGTATGACAATAGAACGGCTGGTTTGCGGTGAGGAGTTTTATGGCTGGGCTCCGCCATTCTCCCCTTTATGCCGGACCCCCCGTCGTTTTCCCCTTCGGTCCGGCGCTGCCTTGGGGCAGCTCTCTGGCCAAAATTTTCCCGGCTGACCACAACCCCAGCAGACCCTGGATACTTGGCTGCGTGCTGGCTGCAAAGAAAACAGCCTTATTCATTTTCCGTCATCTCGGTAACCCATGCCGGCTTTCTTCCTCCTCTCTGCCCAGCTCCTCCGTAGCCTGTGGTTACCGGCCCTTCCGTTGGCTCCTTGCAGCTCCACCTCCACACATCCTCTCTCTCCACAGCTCATCTCCAAGGGCTGCTGCAAGGACTGTGGATGCTGCAGCTGCACCTTCGACCCTCCAAGTCCACAGGGATCGAGAGCCCGGGATGAACTGATTCCCGTGCAGCAGCTCGCTCTGCACTCAGGGCGCACTGTGCTCATTACGCCTGCCACGTCAGGCTCTCCGAACTGACATTAGGCCAGC